AAAACACATTTGAGAAAGAATCATCTACTCTCTAATCCTAACCCTAACACAGAATCCTGAACAAATCTAAAGCAAGACCCCAAACAAGAGAAATCAATCCCAGTCTTCAAGCTTCAGAACAAGCTTACCAAAGAAAGGGAGCTAAGCAAGCAGACTCCTAGTGTCTTCCTCAGGAAAGCACTAGGAGGTGACTACTCAGGAGTCATACCCTATGTGGCTCAACCACTGTGATCAGTTTATATTCCTCCTCGGGAGAAATTAAACTCACAAGCAGGCTCCAACATCACTGGATATTTAGGAAATCCTATCTGAACTAGTGGAACTAAATGAACAGACTCATAGGACCTTCCTCAGGAAAGTACTAGGAGGCTTCCACTTAGGAGTTGTATCCCATGTGGCTCAACAACATGTGATCAGTTTACATTCCTCCTCAGGAGAAATTAAACTCACAAGTTGGCTCCAACATCATTGGATACTTGAGAAATCCTAGATAAACTAATGGAACTAAGTGAATAGACCCATAGGACCTTCCTCAGGAAAGTACTAGGAGGCTTCCACTTAGGAGTTGTATCCCATGTGGCTCAACAACATGTGATCAGTTTACATTCCTCCTCAGGAGAAATTAAACTCACAAGTTGGCTCCAACATCATTGGATACTTAAGAAAGAGGTGAGAAGAAAGAATGAAAGTCATTCATAGTGCCTTCCTCAGGAAAGTACCATGAACTTCCTTCAAACTTCAGGATCTCAAACCTCACAAACAGGGGACAAGCCAAGCTCTGGGTCTCTGAATCTTGATCTACAATCTTCTCTTCATGATGCTCTCCATCAAAGATCTTCAAGGCAACACAAGCCCCTCAACAAATTCCCCACAATGAACCCCAAAGATGAACAGATAACCACAGGGTACACAAAATCAATAGGCAACTTCAGAAAATACCTAAAAATACTAAACTAATGGGGAAAAATCTAGCAATTATTCACAAGGGTCCTCAACACCTACTCATAACATCTACATAGGCCTCTACCTAAAAATCAAGACAAAACTTAATCAAAGAAAGGAATTCATCACCTAAACACAATCTAAACCCTAATTAGAATACCCTACATCAACCCTAATTAAACTAATCAAAACTTAATTCTAAAATTCTAGAAAAAATCCTATGGGGAACTATGATTCATCATCTAATTGCACAAAAAAGAATGGATAAAAAACCCTAAGGGAAGGTTCTAAAATAATTCCTACAAAATCAAACACCAAATTAAGACTATTTAAAAGCTATTTATTTGGAAAATCTATTAAAAATACTAGACTAAAAAATAAAATCTCATTTTTATTTTTATAATTTTCTACACATTTTCATCTAATCATAGAAAAAAGAAGAAGTCAAAAATCATTTTTTATCATTTTTTAATGAATTAATCAAAACAGAAAAAATAAAAGAAGAAAATAAAATAATTAAATGAATTAAAGGGAGGGGGGTATGAACAGCAATTCACGCCAGTTAAAACAATTGGGCCAGCAAAAGGGGGGGTGCGAATAGCGCGCTGAGCCCAGAATGGCTTTAAGTGAAACGACTGCGTTTCGCTTCTCTTTGAATTTCCCTCCATCTCTCAGATTTAACCGTGGCCGTTGGATCAACATAATGAGTCAAGCTTTGAGACCAATCCAGTGGCTATCCTTCATCGTCCCAGATGAGACCTAGGGTTTTCAGAACCCTTCCCTCCATGCCCTAACCTTCGAGCTCCTCTATCTCTCTACTCAGGCCATGGTTCAACAAGATTCCAAAACAAGAAATGCTCTACTAAATGCCTAGAACACAGCCATATGCTCACCTTCCCCTAACTTGCCCTAGATAGCCCTAACAGAAGACTTGAACATCTTGGCACAACCATATTCATCTGATATCAACCATGGTGAAACTTCCACCTAAGGATCTGAACCTGCTCTACACGCCACCCTAGTCATCCTAACCTAATTCATGCTGATTAAAACGCCCTAAACAAATAGTTCTTGAAGATTCAAGAATCACTCACCTGCCATGAAACCTCACGCAGAGCTCTCAAACTCTCAGAAATTGATCCTCTACCCTAACACATTAATTCTATGGCTATAAAACTAATTGAAACTGGCTAACTTAAGAGATACAAGGAGAAGAAAGGACCTGTCAAGTAATGATGGAGAAGGCTCGTGGGGATGCTTGCAGGCCTTGGAATTGGTTCAAGATGATCCTCCAATGGTGAGGAACTTTCTGTTTGCACTTGTATGGAAGGAGAGTGCTTGTAGTGGAAGAAAACCAAAGTTGCTTCAACTTGAAGAAACCTCTTCAATGGCAATGTATCTCTCTCTTTCTCCTCTGACTTGACTCTCTATCACCAACCCTGAACTCTCTTCATGGCATTCTTTATATAATGATCATTGGATGCTTCTAGATTCATCTAGAATGTGGTGGAAACTTCTTGAAATTCTCATGTGATGACAAGTTGGTTATCTCATATCTCATATGTTATGCCTTGCAATTTTGTATTAAAATATCCTTATGTGAGATATTGAGAAGGGATGAGTGAAAAACAAGTTCATTTTTGGCTTGTGTAGGGTTTTGCAAAGTTGCCTTCTTATGCAAGTAATAAATTTCCAAAGGAAGTCCATTTTTGGAGCCTCAAATGAAAAATCTATTTAAACCAAAGTTCTCAAAATGGTTTTTCCAATCAAAATGATATATTGGATGACCTATTTTGGATTTGTGGATCTTCCAAATCACTTTTCAATTTCAACTTTTCAAAGTTATAAGCCTTTTTTAGTTCATTTTTGACCAATCATGTAATCTTGTGCCATGAGCTTTTCCAACAATTTGTGACCTTCTTTCTAGACTTAAAATCACATTTTGAGCAACTTTCATGTTTTGAGTTTTTCCATTTGAGGCTTGGAAATAGGAGATATGGCATTTGCTTAAAAATGACCTACAACTGACAAATTACCAAAATACCCCTGTCTTGTTCAAACCATAAGTTGAGTTCCACAAATCCTATCAAGGACTTCTACCACTCAAATTAAATCTAAGAAGATGCCCTCCAACATTCATGTTGACCAAGAAATCATAGGAATCATCCTACTAGGGCAAAAGTTGCCTGCAAGTTGGGTGACTTTTAAGGACCCAGATTCACATACCTCTATTGACCTGTAATTTGTCAAAACCATAACTTGAGCTCTGCAACTCCTATCAAGGACTTCCACCACTCAAATTAAAGCTAAGAACAAGCTCTACAACATTCATGTTGTGGGGAAGATGAGATATCAATCACATCTAGAGCTAAAACTGCCTGGAAGATAGGGATCAAATTAGGGTTTTTCACTGACAATCCTTGGAAACCCTAACTCAAAACTTCTCAGACTCCTCAATCATGATGAGTTGGTCTAGGAATCATCTTTATAACATCTCTATGCATCATTCCATGATCTCATGGCCCTTGGATTAGGTCTCAACCTTCTCCAAATCTTCAGTTATCCTAGGGTTGACCCAGTCAAAACCCTAATTCTACCATTCATGGTTGAATCCTCTGAACTCTTGCATAATGACTTCTCTGGGCTTCATGATGGCTATCAAGACATCTCATACACTTTCTCAAAACATCAAGTTCATTCTCAAAGTCTCAGAATCATCTGATGAGCACCCACAACTCTCAAGCTATGAAGCACACAACCCTGGTTTCAATCCACTCTTCTGAGGATCTCTTGAACTGTCTGATGAAGGTATCAACTTTCAAACACTCAATGAATAAATAATTGTTGGTCAAATTTTGGGGTGCAACAAAGACCAGGACGTGGTCTTCGCCCTAGTCCAACTGTCCCGAGATCTCCGGAAAATGGGTTTGACCTGCTCTTTCGGAGGTGGGCAGATGTGTGGTGACGTGTCTCCGCGGAGGGGGGCACGTGGAGAACGTGCGTATGGCACGTTGTCCTCCCCGCGGAGGGGAGGTCCTTCCCGCGGAGGGTAAGGTCCTGCCCGCGGAGGGGTAAGGTCCGCCGAACGGGGAGCCTTCAGCCCGACGTGGTAGGCCTTCCTTGCAGGGAGGCCCTTATGATTTGGCGGGGACCTCGAGCCCGGACAGGATAGGGCCTTGTGGGATATTATTGGGCTGGGTCCGCGTGGTCAGCCCGGGGCCCAGGCCAGAACAGTTATGTCGTTGTGTTGCTGTCTTGCTCTACTGTATAATCATATTAATGAAATCAGAAGAATAAGAAGATGATTAGATTCTTTAATAAGTGGACAGAACAACAATGTTTTGCACAAAAACTTCCTTTGTGGTGTTTACATAAAAGAAGCTTCAAGCAATAACAATGGTTCCTGTGTGATTAGGATGATATGAGCTGACTTACAAGGAACTTAACTGAAGCCCTGTATCAGTCAAGTCGTATATACCATTTGTGATCATAGATTTTTAACAGGAGATGTATGACCGGATCAAAATTAACTATGTGACGAGATCAAAAGGTTCAAAGTAAGTGATTGAAAACTATCATTATATATTTGACATTTTTGTAGAACCTCAAATTACTAAAGTCTTGTTTCTATGAAGGAATAAACCATAGAACTGAAGCTTTAGCTTTGTTTGAAATGAACCAAAGCCAGTTCGGTTCGGTTTCCCTGAACTACATTTCTGGTTGTGTTCGGTTGTTTTCGAGAACTAAACTATGAACATGATTGACTACTTGTATGTCTTGTTTGTATTTGTATTAAAATTGCCGTTCAAAGTGTTCTTCAACATAGAAATATCTTGGTTGGAAAAAATACAGTAAAAATTATGTGAGATTTCTTATGTTTACACATGATATACACAAATGTACCATATAAAAGACATATCATCTTTCTCTCCATTTACAGATATTTACTCCACCAATAATTCATAAGCATTTTTTCCCTTTAAAATTTGAAATACATGTATACACTTTTATTTGTATTTTCAGATATCCTTCTTAATCACCTCTATATTTTCACAGTATCAGAGTGAATGCAACAGAAGAATAGCTCCTATGATAAGCAATGCCACAGAGGATATTAAAGCCTGCAAGATCGCCAGAGCATTCAGAAAATGAAGCATACATTAAACTACCTAAGATACACTGCAATCATGTTAAAACAAATGCTATTTTACTGCTGATCTATGTTATTTTTGCATATGTGCGAGCACACACAAACAGATAAACAAGTTGAGGATACAGAGCAAGAGAAGGATTAGAGAGAAATATTACAGCAATTGCAGAGGCTCCCAATCCCGCACGTTCCCTAGGATCCTTCATATAGTAATTTCCAAAATAGAGAATAGTTGCATAGTACCACAGAGGTGGACATAGAAATCCAACAAGAAATCTTCAATGAAATGAAACAAACAAAGTCACAAAACCGTTTAGCGGAGGAAAAGAAATAAGGGAAGAATGAAGGTAAATTACTTACGAGAACCATCCAATTCCGCATCCAAAACACGGAAGAGGTTTGTCATAAAGTCCAGTTTGGAGGTCCTCTGGGTCTCGAATCAGAGCATACTTGCCTCTATCATGATCAGAAGCATCTGCTGCCTGACCTGTCATGGCCATAGATATGTCAAAGCTTCGGAGGAAACTTGTTTACACAATTTCAGTTGAAAAATATAAAGAGAAACATTAGTTACAAGCATGTTACCAAATTATTTGAGTTTGTTTACGGTCACAAGCACTTTCAATACTGTTTGAAAGATCTCATATAAACAACTTCTGACATGTCCATAAGATGTTTTCATCTTATTTCCCTAAGCTCTCTGGCATAGTTTAGGAAAACAGCATCTACGAAAACAACTTGATTTTATTTTATCTTTATCGTAAAGATTAACATATACATAACCACCTATATGATAAGGGCTTGTGCTATAAGCTCTTAACTGAGTTGCTTATCTAAACAGGACCTTAGTGAAAAATCATGTAAACTGTTAATGAATTTCTAGACAGTGAGTACCTCTAAAAATCGAATAACTTCGAGCAGATGGTCTCAGAAGGTCGCGATGCTTATCAGAGACTGATGTTGCCAATTCTACATCATTTCTCAAATCAAAAGTCTCTTCCATACTGGAGTCTGTACAATAAACAAAGTCAAATTTTAGAACACTTCAGCATATAATATAAGAAAGCATAGCACTTGCAAGATACGAAAATTGAATATGAAAATTGAAAATGAAGTTACCAACCCTCAAATTTTAAAGAACACTATTTTACTTGTCCTTTAAAATTCATCAAATTGCATTATGTTAGAAAGAATCTTTGAATCCGTGTACCAAACCAAGACGAAAAATGGAAAACTTGTTGATAAAGCAATCAAGAAGATCTCCGAATTCAAAATTTCAGCTCAAAGAAAACCAAAATTTTGGAAATTAGGGCAAAGTTGAAGTAAATGAACAGAGAAAAAAAAAACTACTGAAAATGATAGAGATTTTTATCAGAACAAAAAAGAAAGAAAATTATAAGAATTATGAGAAGGAAAATAAAATTACCTGTTAAAGAAAGAGGAAAGAGAGAGAATGAAAGAAAAAGTGTAGTTGGAAGAGAAACAAGAAGTTTCAGTGATGAAGAAGGAAGAGTGAAAATGAGAGAGACAAAAACCTTTTTTTTTTCAAAGATCAAACATAATGAGCAATTTAGCAAATTCAACTCCTTCATTTTTATATTTTATTTATTATTATTATTATTATTATTATTATTATTATTATTATTATTATTATTATTATTATTAGATTAAATGTTTGTGAGGAATTTGTAGTTTTTTCTTTTCATTTTCTCTATTTTTTTCCCCCTTACCAATTTCATAAACAGTTATTTAAAATGATAATTTATGTTGTTTTTCTTTTTGCAATGGCCAAAAGTCAAAAGTATATTATAAAATTATTAACACAAAATGTGCAAAGTAGAAGGTAGGATAAAAGAAACTCCGAAAAAAAAATTACATAGAAGAAAAAAACAAGAGATATGTTTGTGTTTTTTTTAAATATCTTAAATTTTGTTTTTAATTCCTTCAAATATTTTTTCTAAAAATAGTTCTCTTAAATTTTTTTATTCACGATTTTGGTCCCTAATATTAAAATTATCGCTAAAACTGGCGCTAATTCAGTCGTTAAGTAATAAACCGTCGTTAAAACCGTCACTAATTTAATCGCTAAATTGTGAAATTCGTCGCTAAGTTGCACGAGAGACCAAAAATGTGGATGAAAAAATTTAAGAGAATTAATCTTTGAAGAAAATATTGCAAAAGACTAAAAACGAAATTTGTGATATTTGTGAGGATCAAAAATATATTTAACCAAAAAAACAATTCATTGAATGAAAGACAAATCCTAAACATATAAGAAGATTACACCACAAGTTATTTGATTCTTTTTTGAAAATTTTAAAGTTAGATTTTCTTTTAATCAAAAGAGAGCTAGAAACATATGCAAATAAATGATGGGATTAAAGTCAAAATATCAAACCTTAGCAAATACTAACATTAAGAAGATCAGATTCGCTTCTATTGAAGTCCATAGCTATATGTATATTATTCCACCACACCACGTATAGTTAGTAATTACTAACCCTAAAAATTAGTCAGTTTATTTACATAATGATTCCCTTCTTTATAAACGTGAGTTGCAAACAAAATAAATTTGTTGTAGCACTTGGATACAATAGTCTCATTTGTTCCTTAACTTCCAAGACACCACAAATGGTTTACTAAAAACAAGCACAAATATATTAGAATATGTTCGCAATCACAATCTACTCTAATGTTTATTAATACCATGCTCCATAGCCAAGATTACCCCCATAAACTAAGCAAAAAGTGCATTCTCTTGACCAAGATTACAATCAAAGTTATTCAAGTGCTCCCCATTAGGATTCCTAATAATTCTCCCATAGGCTTCCAAGAGCAGTCTACCCCTTAAAACTCCATCTGTGTTGTCCTTGATCAAGTCCAATGTATTAGAAGTAATTCATATTTATTAGTTGTACTATTTTCTTAGCCCCTAAGTTTGTTAGAGGGTATTTTAGTATTTTTATCTTATTCTAGTAACTCTAGTTTTAGCTTATAAATAGGGTAGCAATCATTGCAATTTGTGTGATCGTGTGTAGCTGTCATTCTCTTAATAGAATATTTCCTCTGTTCATCATTTATTCACCTTTGCACTGACAATTGGTATCTAGAGCTCCGGTTCGGATTCATTGGGAAACACGGGAAACACGAGTGAACGTGAGGTCTTGTGTGTTTGATTTTGATTCTTAGATTCGTGTTGAATCTTGAACAAAATCTGATCAGAATTTTAATTCTGTGGGTTGGGAAACACTGTGTGAGAAATCTGAGTGTACTGTGCAAGGTAGAAGATGAACGGAAACAACAACATGAACACCAAACTTCCAGTATTTGACGGTAAAAACTGTAATCGTTGGATGATCCAAATGCATGTATTGTTTGGTGCTTAAGATGTTCTAGATCTTGTCATTGATGGTTATGTTCCGGTAGCATCAAATGCGACGGATGAACAGAAAAACGCACAGAAGGAAGTAAGGAAGAAGGATCAGAAAGCATTGTTTTTCATTCATCAATGTGTGGATGTAAATGTGTTTGAGAAGATTGTAGATTCAACGACAGCAAAGGCTGCGTGGGACACACTGGTGAGATGTTATGGTGGTGACGCATCAGTGAAGAAGGTAAAGCTTAAGTCCTTGAGAAAGCAATATGAGAATCTCAACATGAAGAATAATGAGAAAGTCTCTGAATACATCTCCAGAATGATTCTGATCACTAATGAGATGAAGGCGTGTGGAGAAACTCTTTCTGAAGAAGCAATCATGGAGAAAGTATTGAGATCCCTTACCTCTCAATTTGATTACATTGTGGTAGCAATAGTACATTTCAAAGATCTGAGCACAATGAGAATTGAAGAGCTGCAGAGCAGTCTAGAAGCGCAAGAGTTGCGTTTGACTGAGAGAACCTCTGAAAAGGAAGTAAAGCAGCAGGCTCTGAAAGCAACTTCTGATAGGAGGTATCAGAAGCAGTCAGAAGCCAAGAGAAGATTTGATGGTGGTCAGAAGTCAGAAAGCTCAACCTCTGATAGACAAAAGAATGCTCATAAGGGAAAAGAGAAGTATGACAATAAGAAGATCCAATGTTACTGTTGTAAGAAGTTTGGTCACTTTGCTAGAGATTGTTGGTCAAATAAGGAGAGAAAATCAGAAGAAGCAAATATAGCCAGAAGTTCTAATGACGAATCTGTGCCATTAATGGCCTTTAAATCTGATAATATGGATCTGATAGACTGGTGGTATATGGACACTGGCTGTTCAAATCATCTTACTTGAAACAAGAAATGACTGGTTGACTTTGACTCTAAAAAGAGAACAAAGATCAGATGTGCTGATGACAAATATCTTAACGTAGGAGGTATGGGAAATGTCAGAGTGATTCTGAACAATGGGAAAACAACATTGATTCAGAACGTGTGGTATGTACCTGGCATCAGAAGCAATCTGATGAGTGTGGGACAATTAATTGAGAAAGGTTTTTCAGTTACCATGAAGGACAATCTTATGAAGCTGTATGACTGCAATCAGAAGTTGATTATGTAGTCAGAACAGGGAAGGAATAGAACATTCAAGGTGAATGTCAGAACTGCAGACTCAGAATGTCTTAGTGCAACAAGTGCTGAGAAGGAGAGTGAGCTGTGGCACAGAAGATTTGGTCATTTGAATTTCAGAAGCTTAAAACATCTGAATTCAGAAGTTGGTACATGGAATTCCTGCAATTAAGAAGTCTGAAAAGTCATGCAAAGTTTGCATGGAAGGAAAACAACCACAATTTCCATTTGCTTCAGAAGCTGCTCCAAGAGCAAAACATGCCTTAGGAGTTGTACATTCTGATGTGTATGGTCCATTTCCAGTAGCATCGATTGGAGGGAATAAATACTTTGTGTTATTTGTTGATGAATTCACAAGAATGACATGGGTATCCCTTATTAAGTTTAAACACAAGGTGTTTGAGGAATTCAAGAAGTTCAGAATGAAGGCTGAGAATCAGAGTGGTCAGAAGTTAAAGATTCTTAGAACTGACGGTGGAGGTGAGTATAACTCCAAAGAGTTCCAGAAGTTCTGTAAGGAGAATGGAATTGAGCATGAGGTTACTGCTCCTTATACTCCTCAACACAATGGTCTTGCTGAAAGAAGAAATAGCACTTTGCTTGATATGGTGAGAAGCATGCTAAAGAAGAAGAAGCTTCCTCAGAAGCTCTAGGGAGAAGCTGTTGCCACTGCAATGTGTGTACTCAACCGTTGTCCTACGAAGAAGTTGAAGGAAATAGTACCAATACAGAAGTGGACTGGAGATAAGCAAAGTGTTAGTCATCTGAAGGTGTTTGGTTCTGTTTGCTATAAACATGTTCCAGAAGCCAGAAGACAGAAGTTGGATGATAGAAGCAAAGTGATGATTCTTATAGGGTACCATAGTACAGGTGCATACAAGCTCTATTGTCCAGAAACCAATAAAATTGAATTCAGTAGAGATATGATTGTGAAGGAATCATAAGTTTGGAATTGGGATAAGTCTCAATCTGAACTTCTGAAGAAAGGTCAGAGTTAAGAATTTCTGAAGTTGGAGTAAACTCTGACGTTGATTCTGACTCTGATAGTGATTCTGACTCTGGAGAAGACTCAGAAGATGAAGGTGACTCTGATGATCTAGACTCTGATGGTAATCCAAATTCTAGTGGCAATTCAGACTCTGAAGATGGCCAAGGCTCTGGAGGAAGTCAAGCCTCTGAAGCTAGAAATTCTGAAGTTCAAGACTCTGGAAATATGCCAGACCCTGAAGATGGTCAAAGCTCTAGAGGAAGTCAATCATCCGAAGCTCAAGACTCTAAACAAGTTCAGAGACCACAAAGAATAAGAAACGTCCCCAGAAGATATGCAGAATTTGACATGCTGCAAGACACTGAAGCAGACTCTAAAGGAGAAGTTATTCAGTGTGCCATGATAGTAGACTCTGAACCCATAAGTACAGAAGAGGCTATTAAGCAGAAGCTCTGGCTGAAGGCCATGAAAGAAG